CTGGGTGCCCACACCAGCCCGTGTTCTCTGGGTGCCCACACCAGCCTCCCATTCCCTGGGTGCCCACACCAGCCTCCTGTTCCCTGACACCAGCCTCTCGTTTTCTGACACCAACCCTCCCATTCCCTGGAGGGTTCCCTCGTTCCCTGGTGCGTCCACGTGCTGGGCACTGGCTCAGGTGCCACCTCTGCTTGCAGACACTCCATGGGTGTGTGCAGTATCCAGAGCAGCCCTCATCGGGAGCACATCCTGGCCACAGGAAGGTGAGTCCCCAGGAGGCCCATGGGCCCTTCTTGCCCCTTCTGTTGCCGTTCCTCCTGGCACCTTTGCAGTATTTCGTCTGCCAGTGCTTTGCCAGACTGCAGGTATCTGGGTTTGGGAATGGAGACCTTGTCCTCAAGGGCCGAGTGGGACTGAGACGTTCTCTGCCACCCGGGGCTTTGTGGACCAGGTGAGCCTGAGCCTGGGCTCTCCCTGCGTCCCGCTGTGGTTGATCGGTTTCAGCTATGATGAGCACATCCTCCTGTGGGACACACGAAACATGAAGCAGCCGTTGGCAGACACGCCCGTGCAGGGTGGGGTATGGAGAATCAAGTGGCATCCCTTCCACCACCACCTGCTTCTGGCCGCCTGCATGCACAGTGGCTTTAAGATCCTCAACTGCCAAAAGGCAATGGGTGAGTGGGAACCTGTGGCTGCTGGGCCTTGGCCGGGGCGCCAGTTCCTGCCCCCTTGCTCTGCTGGGCTCTTCCGTCTGCTTTCACACACTCCCAGGGTCACGCCCTGGTCGTGGCTTGGACGTGATCCATAACTGTCCCAAATCCAGACTCTCTGTTTTGAGAACTCTGTTCTCTAACTAGTTTTCCCTGGTTTCCCAGCTCCGTTATTCCGGTGCCTCCTGCGTTTGAGCAGACCTCTGACCCCACTGGGACCTCTGACCTGGAGGCTTGACCACCGGCACTCCCACGCTCCTCTTGCTGGGGTCAGCTGGGACTCTGTGGTCTCCTGACCCTGTGTGCTCACACTCTAGGCAGAACCTAGTGTTGTTCTGTTGGGAACACACACCTCTGCTTCTGCCTGAGCTGGGGAGTGTGGCAGCTGGAATCAGCTGTCCACGTTCTGTTCCAGCAGGCTTCTGGGATTCCTGGTGATCTGTAATGTTTCTCTAGGCAGTAATCCTCTACTATCAGAACGGTTCACATTTTCTTCTCTCTGCTCAAACCTCCAGGACCTCCTCTTCTCTCCTGACTCTCAGCTCTTGATCTCTCCTCTTTCGCCCCTTCCCTGTCCCCTCACTCCAAAAAGAACCAGTCACAAAACCACCTCATCTTCCCACCCCCCGCAGCGGTGGGTGAGCCACGCGTGTTCCCATGGCCAGTTCCTTCTCTGCACTGGAGTGTCCTCAGGACTTCATTTCCACATTGGATTCCTCTCTCTGCTGTATCTTTAGTTTTCTAGTTTCTCCATCTCTTCTGCATTGTTTCTGTTAGTTCTGTAAATGTACTTCACATGTCTCATCTGTTTTTTTGAGGCGGGGTCCCGCTCTGTCACCCAGGCTGCAGTGTGGCGGTGCGATTTTGGCTCACTGCAGCCTCAACCTCCTGGGCTCAAAGCATCGCCCACCGCAGCCTCTCGAGTAGCTGGGACCCCCAGGGCCAGCCACGGTATTTCTTAAATATTGTCTTAAAACAATTTGAGGTCTTTTTTTTTTCTTAATTCACGTACGTATTTACAGGGATACGTTTTCCTCTGAGCACTGCTTTCGCTGCAGCCCATATATTTTGGTATGTTATATCTTTATTTTCTTTCATCTCAGTGTATTTTCTAATTTTCCATGGTTTTTTTTATTTTGCCTCAGCCTCCCAAGTAGCTGGGATTACAGGTGCCTGCCACCGTGCCTGGCTAATTTTTGTGTTTTTTAGTAGAGACGGCATTTCGCCGTGTTGGTCAGGCTGGTCTCGAACTCCTAACCTCAGGTGATCTACCCACCTCAGCCTCCAAAAGTGCTGGGATTACAGGTGTGAGCCACTGCACCCAGCTGGCCTTTTTCCTAACTTTATTTATTTTTTTGAGATGGAGTCTCACTGTGTCACCCAGGCTGGAGTGCAGTGGGGTGATCTTGGCTCGCTACAACCTCCACCTCACAGGTTCAAAAGATTCTCCTGCCTCAGCCTCCCAAGTAGCTGGGACTACAAGCATGCACTACCATGCCCAGCTAATTTTTATATTTTTAGTAGTGATGGGGTTTCACCATGTTGCCCAGGCTGCTCTCAAACTCCTGGCCTCATGTGATCCACCCACCCCGGCCTCCCAAAGTGCTGGAATTCCAGGCATGAGCCACTGCACCTGGCCTATACCTTTAATTTAAAAAAAAAAAAAAAAAATTAGTGGATGGGTGCAGTGGCCCACACTTGCAATCACAGCACTTTGGGAGGGGTGGGAAGATTGCTTGAGCCCAGTTCAAGACCAGCCTGGACAACATAGTGAGACCCCATGTTCACAAAATATAGAAAAAACTACTCTGGCATGATGGTCCCAGCTATTCAGGAGGCTGAGGCAGGAAGGTTGAGCCTCGGAGGTCAAGACTGGAGTGACCTGTGATTGCACCACTGCACTCCAGCCTGCGCCACAGAGTGAGACCCTGTCTAGGAAAAAAAAAGATGGAGGGAACGTTGGCCTGTTCCTTATCAGAAAGGGCCTCCCGTTCTTCGGGGTCTCAACAGCGTCTTCCATCCACTCATCCGCTGTCTTTCCCCGGCTGTGGCTCTCTGAGGTCTTC